TGAAAGAATGAATCATTGAAAAGAAAATTCTCTTCGCTGTTTACGCCTTTTTCTTATGACTCAATATAAGAATATTTCGCACAAAAATAATTTCAATTTCCAACGAAAACTGTGATGAAATTTCTTCTCCTTCAGCTGTACAAATTGTCAGTTGCGAATTTGCTTAAGGGCGTTATTAGTTCCCGAAAATAACTAACCAGAAATTGAGTGGTTTGGATTGATTCACCTCTCCGAGCTGAGTTAAACTGGTTACACTACTGGTGAGCTCACCTCCGAAGGAGCAAACGGGCCATCCAGTGTTAAGATCACTTCAGTGTGACTTGTAAGCACTAATCATCTCAGTCAGACATTCATTAATACATAGTTTTATGCGATCACAACCATTATTACCAATATTTTTACTCTGATTCCGTTTGAAAGCAAGTTGAAAACTAGAAGGGAACTTTCTCTAAGTTTTTAAATACACTTTGTCCATGTTTAGTAAAAAACACGAAACCGCATTGAGAATAGCTTATCTATCAACTGAGACTAACCAACCAGTGCTTCAAGCTTTGATTCACCTGCTAAAATTCCTAAGTTTGACATAGATAGACTCATTAGGAAATTTGTAGTTTTTCACAATGTCTCATAAACAGTTATTACAGACGTGCTACATATTTCTACTTGAATGAAGTGATGTACATTTATTCAACCATAAAATATAAATGCATAGAATAGCCTTCATATGATAAATTATTTAGTACTACAGAAATTAATCTAGTCACATGAAACGTCATTATCTGATCTTTTTTCATGATTCTCTCAGATAATATATATATATTTAAAAAAAAGTAACAAATGGAAGAATAATGGAGCGTTAAAACCTCTAACTTACGGCGATTAATCACTGTTGCGAAGGTGTTCATCAATAATAATAATAATAATCACCTTACTCCATAAACAGATTCTATAAAAAAAATGTTCTGAATTCTTTTTTTGAAGTCAGTTGGTGGATGGTGACTAGTAGTGAAATTCAAGAAACCCACTTCGTCCTATCTCAGATTCGTCAGCTGGATGTGCCTGCATTCCGTAGTGAGTGATGATTTTCCCACCGAGGCTCGAACTGGGTGCCCATAGTATCGAAGTGAAAACCTAAAATTGAATTAAATAACAAATGTGATCCGTCGCACAAGAGGTGGTTCTGGTGGCCTAAGTGGTCTAGTGGATAACATATTGGTGTTTGAAACTATGGTCACTGGGTTTGAGCCTCGGTGGGAACATCATCACTCACTGGGTATGCAGACACATTCAGATGACGAGTCTCGAATAGGACGAAATGCACATTATCTGGATTCTTTGCTAGTCAACATCTATCAGTTAACTTCTAATTACATGCCCAGACGTCGTCGAAGCATTTGGACAAGAAGCTGACATGTCAACCTGAGACCGAGCACTTCGGTCCAATCAATCGACGGGAAAATCTAAAATTCAACTAAATATTATGCACAAACTACTGAAATATAGTTGTGATTAATTTGATCTATACCACACTGCACGAACTTTTCACAGACACTAAAATGAAATCTGCAGTTAATGCCAACTGATCCATGGACGGTCATTTGATTTACGTTGATACAGTCCACATAAGTCGTATCCATTTAGTATAATTTTTATGATGAACACGAAAACTGATAGTTTGTTATATTTCAAAAGAACTTGTGTGCATGAAGATATTTTTGACTGATTACAACAAGACAAAAGATGTGATCTAAGGCAGTGTCTTTGATGAAAGTTTCAATTACAGACGGATGGTACGAATCAAGATGTCAAAGCCTGAATCCTAAAGGCAAGACCGAGCTTCATCACTCTAAAATCATTTTGGAAACCTTCTGTACTCAGCCTAAGGAACCAGATTCAGATTTTCAACACCACTGTTATGTCAGTTCTTTATTGTGTCAGAAACTTGGTATTTGCGTCACGAAGAGAATTTCCAACAACCCGATGAAGACTTTTCTCAACGCCTGCCTTCAGCGACAGGAAGCTCCAAGAACAAACTAATCAAGAACCTGTTGCTCAACAAGTATCATGAAGCAAAGGTGGGTAGAAATTAAGCTATGGAAACCATCAAATGACAACGAGAAGAATTCGAATGAAAAACGATGAGTTGGTTATCAGTCCAAAGGTGACTTGGAGGAGATCGTAAGAAGAGTAGGTCAAAGTCTATAGGCAATCGTGGGACAACAGAAAACAAGGCGAATAGGAGATACGCTGTCGAGTCCCTATGTTCCACTCGGAATCCAAGGGAACAATAATAATGATAATTCGATGTAAATAGATATTTCGGTAGCCCAATGTTGAAGTAGGCCACCAGTTGTACACAGTAGGAAAACACTCCGTTCAACCCTAAATTACATGAGTTTACTTATTTATTCATAAAATTATGTTTCAAATCATTGTCTTATGGGGTATAAGGAGAATATGTGAACACAATCCAGTAATCATTGAAATTTGTATTCCGTTGGAAAACAGTCTAAAAACAACGTTGAGTTGGAATAAAGTTTTCCCCTATAATCGGTCTAATTCCTCTATTCTACCCAGTTTTTGATTGTTGAAGATACTCTGTGGTAGATCTTTTACCTTGTGCTTTGTGACCTTCATTTCTTATCAACGGTGAAACTGCTTATAAACGAAATTTGAAGATTTAGTTAAATGTACTTAAATGGGATTCACCCAAATAGCGAAGCAAAGTACCCCACTTAGCCGTGTTAGCACTTGCATGGATAGCCGGCTAAGAATACCAGATGTTACTAGTTTTTAGTACATCAGTGGTTCAGGAGTAGAATGTCCGCGCTCTTAAATCTCGTCCAGTTTACTAATTGGCATTAAGCTAGGAAAAGAGATAATGCTCAGTGTAAGGCTGGCAAACTCACTCCATAAAAACAGTAAAACCGCTAAAGAAACCTTATAGATTTTAGTCTAAAACTCCACTTTCCACTGGGAACTCAAAGAAATGAAAAATAGTCTGTTAAACATTTGGTGGAAGGAGCCGCATCTGTTACTTTCTATAACATGTAAACGAAATAATAATAAAGTAGTTTTAAACTGTACTGCAGATGTACTTGAATAGGCATGCCTTCACAAGTCCATACTATACCAAGGGACGAAGTTTTCAAATGCATGTCAGAGAACTTAAACTGTTTCCCCAGGTTATTCAGAGCAGTGAGATTCATATTCCCGACATATCCTCATGTACCTAGCCTCCCTAGAAGTGTCCGGAGTATTTTTGGAATCAATTAGTCTGTATTATAAACCTGAGTTTCCATTAAAAAAAATAGATAATAGGAGAGAGATGACAGCAGCTTAGAATGCATACATTATCATTCGTAATTTTGTCTTTTAATACCCACTCTCATGAGTCTCCATCATGGATTCAAATAGTTCTTCATTATCAGGGTCTCTGAGTCTACTTTTTGTGTTATTTTATGAATTTCTTCCCTATTAATGGTTTGTGTGATTTCATTTTTGAAAATTATGACTAATGTATATAAACTGTTTTGTCTAATCTGTCAAATGGAACACATAAGTACAGTCTGACTACGTGACATAATGCTTCATACAAATTTTAAAAAAACTGTCAAACTGTCTGATGAAAACTTCCATAAAAGGATATTTTACTCTAAGATGATGAATAGAATTAAACATTAAATTAGTCTTTCGTCTTTTAAGATCCAGACTACCTGTCTCCAGGTTTTTATTATCTTTCTCTTCCAATGACTTTATGAGTTTACCATTGACAAGATTAGAATGAGAAAGTGGTATGAATTCAAAATAAATTATGCGTTGTATTTATTAACGTTTAGATACGGTAAAGAAGATTTGTAACTCAGGTGAATGATTTTGATGTGGTTGTGTTCTCTGAGCTGGATGGTTAATTTGCGAAGCTTTCATCACCTTACTGGGTGACATCTTCAGCGCATACTTCAAATTGAAGTGAGCTTTTAGGTTTCTCCACGAGTTTATTAATCATTCCTCCTGGTGACCTTGGACGTGATTGGTTTTTTATGTGTGTTTTCACATCTTCCAGGTTACTTGTATTGGAACTGACTGTTTCTTTGACTTGAACTTTGACCCTTCGTGTGTGAAGTTTCTTTCTTATTGGTTGATAAATTTTGTCTATCTCGATGTGTCTATTGATTGATGATTCACTGGAATGCCAAGCTTCTAAAAATTCTCTAGCATTCTTGTTATTTCCTTTGTCTAATATTTGAACGTTGTCCCAGTGGAATTGATGTCCGTGGTTGCCTGTATGCAGGGAGTGATACGAGGGAGTGGATATCATGTCTTTTGACGGCTAGCTTATTTTCATGGATACGAAGATGAAGGGGACGTCCACTTTGGCCAATGTAGTGTTTTTCGCAGTTGTTACAGTTTATTTTGTAGATGATGTTGGTTTTATCTTCTTTCGCTGTTGAGTCTTTCGGTTGACATAAAATTGATCAATTCTATTTCTAGTTAGAAAACCAGGAATTACTGGAGAGCTGTTTCGTCCTAATTTAAGGTTCATCAGCAATGACGGGTGACCACTAAGTCAAGTAAGGGAACAATTACTCGCCTACGATACTGGTTGACACTTGCTCAATATCTATGGGGAATCAGCAAAATCAGGAATTTATCAACCATTGGATCGAATCCCAGTGGCTAAACAGTCTACGATTTTTCCTTGTAACCTGAAGACTCTGGCTTCGAACTCCTGCGAGTGTATACTGATGAAAAGTCTAGGACACATCCCATTTTGTCGCTTTAATTGAGGATATCAATCTGGCAGATAAAAGAACGGTTCCTTTAACATTCTTTCTCTATTCACTAATATTCAACGAATAAAAAAATCATCTGCTTTTCATTTGATTTCACTTAGTTCAGCATTATCGACTTTTGTATACTAGTTCAGTGCCTAAAACACCTTTTACTTCGGTGTACTTTCAACTGATACTTTCGCACTTTTTTTCCTTTTAAAATTTTAGCTCGACTTGACAGTGTTAAAAATTATATGACATTAAGAAGAGTTCCAGCTGCTCTACAAGAACGTGTTATCAATTGGTTTGATTTTTTATGGTATACAAATAAAATTACTGATGAAGACAAAGTTCTACAAAACTTGCCGTATAAATTAAAAGCAGAAATAGCTATTCATGTACATTTGAATACATTAAAACAAGTGGAAATATTTCAAGATACAGAAGAAGGCTTTTTATCGGAATTAGTATTAAAACTACGCGTTGTATTGTTTGCTCCAGGAGATTATGTATGTCGTAAAGGTGAGTAAGGTATTCTGTTTTTGTTTTCGTTTTTTTTTGTCTTGATACTTTTTCAAAGATATATTGTTAAAACGTATCTTGTACAAGAATCAGATAGAAGTATTTTGTAAGAGCCATTGAATAGCATTCTCCATTTCTACTTGATTTCACCTGTGTAATTTGATGACTATTTTGTCGAAATGAGATCCGGCTATCCACAAAAGGATGTGTGTGTGCTGCGGAGGAGTTCATTCTCTCCTCCTGGCCATGGATATTTACGTTCTGTCCCCCGTGTTAAGTGGTAAGATGTGATGAGTAATATTAAGGTTTGGCGTAGACTTTTCGGCAAGTGGGGTGAGTCAATTGTTGGGGTTTTGAAGCTACATCAATCAAGCTGGCTAAGACAAGTGTTGTACATGATGAGCCATCGCCTTCCACGTCGAGCAATGTTAGCTGACATAGGATTGAATCGGAAAAGACTAAGGGTTGGTCGAACCAAAACCTGGAATCAACAGTGTGTCTAAGCCAACCAAATGGGGAGGTTTAGATTTTCTGACTGTTGGAGACAGCAGTTAAGATATAACATATATGGTATGACAGCCTGTAGAATTATGGCGAAACAGTGAAGGATATTTTAAGAAACAAGATTCCTATATACTAATTATCATACATAATTACAAATTTCATTTGTGGAATTTAGTAACACTTTACTACGCGGTTGGCTTCGGTGGCACAGCGGTATAATGCCCGCTAGCCACGCCTCCCGTGGTCCGTGGTTCGATCCCGGACCGACGCTCACCTTTACCTTGCTAAACCGGTAACAAGAGTGGTAAACAGGGAAGGTTGGGCATGAGGCTAGCAACCTCGTCCTGTAAAAGTAAACACCAGTGCTACCGAAACTTCAAGCCACTAGATTGAAGCCTTATGTTCCTCTATGAACAGAAAGGAATAAAAAGAAAAGTACTATTTAACTAGCCGACTCTTAACCAAGAAAATAAGGAAGATTGAGCACGGTTTTTTCTAGTTTAACTGGCTTTCAATAGTTCTCTGACTGACGTCGATCCTCGGTGAAACTTGAGGTAACTCAAATCCCTGCAAAAGAACACGTGAAAATTAATCTAGTGGTCGCCAGTGACTGACTACAGGATGAGGATTCCTGATGTTTTGCTGGAAGGTCATGAACCTAGGGTCCAGTAAGTTGAATGTGAGGAGTAATACCCACCGACGACATTGGTTGGCGGTCGTTTTCTATATCACGAATCGCAAGAGATTAGAACTCATGGGCAGTTTACAGTGGCTGGAAAGTCAACGGGATTGCCATGTAACTTGAAGGCTCTGGGTTATATCTTTGATGGGATCAAATGAACATACTGTGAGGAGTCCCAAACTAGGACGAAACAACTGTCTAGTTCTCTATGGTTTTTAGTGGTTTTCCAATTGAAGTCAGTTCGTGATGGATCTTGAAATTAATCATATCACCTCAAACCGATAAGTATAATGGATGGTGAAAAGTATCAGAAAAATAAATTATTTTAAGGAGTGGTAAGGAGATGGAACAAATAATAAAATAGTAAATAAAGCAATAAAGAATTTTCAAGTATGGGTTCTGTAGATATTTTGTTTGATTGGTTAGATGATTTCATCATGAGCTGGAATCAGTTAAAGAACCACTGGAAAACCTGGGAGTACTGGACATCTGTCTCCTCAGCCTAGTTTATGACTTTTCAGGAGTACGCACAAACCACCACTGTTCGAACCCAGGATCATCCGGTTATAAGGCGAGTTTGTAGACGATTAAACTGCTGGATGCCGATCCACTAGCCAGCCTGTGAATTTGAGCTTCTGCCATTTAATGAAATAGCTCGACCACTTTGCAATACCTTCTTCGATGAGTTACTGCCTCACCTTCAACCTGCTGTACTCTACTGGTCACAGCTTCCCACTAGAACCCACATGACTGGCTGAATAGGGCCAGTCGTTATTGAGCATCAGATCAATTTTCGAGCATTGGTTTTGTAGTGATTTTGTTCGATTAGTTGAAGGATTTCATCATGAGCTGACATGAGCTAAAAAGTCCCAAACCAAGACGAAACAGATGTCCAGTATCCCAAGGTGGTTTTCCACTGGTTCTCTGACTATTGTCAAATCACAAAAAAAATTCCTACAACACTGCATGATGGATTATAAAACCCTTCTGTATATTTCAGTCGTTGGATTGCTACTGCTTCTGCATGTTGTAGTAATCTACTAGTACTCTCTGTGCTTACGACCCAGAAATCTGCGGTAGAATTTATGACGTGGCCCATATAAAAAGTATGTCTACTAAGGTTTGAATAGCCAAGTACAGTAAGCTCTTGTAAAAGATGCGTGATTGATTTTTAGGTTTAGTTTTCCGTAGTTATCAATTAAGACTCCAGCCTAATGCTGACAATAATAACTGCCAACACCCTACAAACTTCGCATTCATTAAAGCACTTCATAGCATGTTAATGAACTAATGTGACTAAGCTCACAAAGACCATTCAAGGTCATCAATCTTGAAATAACTTCCTTAGAATGCTGATTATGCAAATGGAGAGGCGTTCAGCGGAGAATCACTCTTTTCAGTGATATCACCGTCAACTTATGCAACCATATATATGCATATATAAACATTTATGGTATATTTTCCGCAAAAAGAAGAATGTTTTCAAAGTTGTATCATAAAATTTGTAGGTTCTAGATCAAAGTAATGTAAAAAAGAAGGCCTTAATTGGCTAGAAACTAACACAAAACCAAATAATTAGTTGAGTAACACAACATCACTAACACGATTGAGTAGAACTCGACTAAAATTAGTAGAAAGTCAAATTAAGAGCAGTGTTATAAGCAGTAGAACAAATCCCTTTTCAAGAATATTTACCAGAAAGGAATAACTGTCGAAAGACATTGAACTTTAGCCCAGAAAAGGAATAATATTCATCATCAACACCTATATCATCATAAAATTCAATAGGCGTAACCATTTTTATCACCAAAAGCATTCTGAACAGACTTTAGACGTTTATCGGCAACTGAAAATCGGATAGCCTTAATAGTCTGACAACATAGAACTCTGTAAACAAAGCAACCAAGAATCTACAGCCTTATAAGTATGCAGTGGGGAAATGAAGGCGGATAAGACACACTCTGAGGTGACTGTTGAGTAGAATTCAACACCGATTCATTGAGTAGGACCCGAACAGGAAACGAGGATTTTAGCATTGGTCCAATAGTCACGCAATGGAAATCATATGAGTGAGAGATGTTCTGCTAAAACATAATACTTCACGAGGAACCTAAAGGGAATATTGAATAAAGTAATAAACCTATTTTAATTTGTGGATGGTTACTAGCAGTGAAATCTAGGTTACGCATTTTGTCCTATTTGAGACTCGTCACTTGGATGTACCTGTATTCCCCAGTGAATGATGATGTTTCCACCGAGGCTCGAACTCAGTGCACACAATTTCAAACGCCAAAGCGTTATCCACTAGACCACTTTGGCAACGAGAGCCACTTCTTGTACAACGGTTCATATTAATTGTATAATTGAATTTTAAGTTTTTCACTGCTAGTCACTATCCACACCAATTAACTTCTAATTACATGCCCAGACATCGTCGAAGCATATGCACAAGAAGCCGACATGTCAACTTCGGTCCAATTAAATGATGGGAAAATCTAAAATTCAACTAAATAACCCTATTTTGTTTATGTGTTTTTTATTCTCTTCGAATATTCATATCATCCCGTAGTGTTTTATCGTTGTACTGACCAAGGCGTAGGCAGAAACTTGGATAGAATATTGTAAAACGAATGAATCAGCCAAGTCTCCACCTCACTTGTTCGTTAGTACTGATAATGAACACCTGGTAATAGAATCTAAAAAAGTAATTTTAGTATTTAATCATTCATTTGTCGAACAAGTATATAAATAACACTTAATTTTGACTATCTCTACTAAATAAGTCTTACAAAAACTGTAGCAATGACTAAAGCCAATTTGGTAACAAAACAAAACTAAGCGGAATCATAATTAATCTTCTAATATGTAATAAAGACATAGACTACTATTTGTAATAAAGGTCGCTGTTTTTTTCTTTGGGTTCTGAGTGGAAAATGGGGATTCAACAGGAAATCTCCATTTAATCCTGTTCTCTGAAGTCTTTTCCAGTTGGTTCCATAATAACCTCTGAATTCTTACTTCCTTCTCCATATTACCCTTGAACCCACACTCAACTCTCCATTTCCCGTATGGTTCTAGGGCAAGGTTTGCCTGGTGGACACTGTCACTCAACGGTCTTCTCAACGTGTCCAATCCACCTCCATCTTCTTATGCATATTTGTTGACCAATCCATCATTGGTTGGTTCGCTACCAGAATTCCCTGTGACTGAACCTTTTTGGCCGGCCGTCTGATCTACACTACAAATCAAAACTAGCTGCTGGTTGATGAGAGGTTGTAGCCTGTTGGAAATGCCTTCAGTGACGCACATAACACACCTCTGAATCACATGAAAGCTCTATTTTGACATTAATGTTAAAAATACGAATCTTGTTCCTTATACTGAGTGCAGTGGACTTCGGACTGATTTCAGATAAAATCTTTGCCAATCTAGTGATTTAGTATCAGCCTATCTTTTCATCAGTGGATAAACCCGAAACAGATTTCTTAGAATTTGTCACTAGGATTCAACAAACAGTGTATGTGAATGGTTAATCTTACAACGTGGAAATGATAGGAGTCATTTATCGTTGGATAGCAGAATTTAGAAGTAGGCAGTGGAATGCCTTTTCAGAGGTGAAATTGTGAATTGTTTGTGTCTATACTAAGCTTTTGTGAATTTATTTCCTTTCATCGCAGGTATTCTCACACTATTAAAGCGTTATAGCACTCGTGAGTTTTGAATGATTCTCGAAGTGTTTCAATTTGTAACAAATTTTGACTTAGAGACCTGTTGAACTTTTACAGAAAGAAACGAAAATCTCGTTCATGTTTTGAAAATGAAAAATATTTTCACAATTGTTAAAACAAAAAAGGTTATTTTCAAGCAGTACAAGATTTAATATCATAATGGGAGTATATATGGTAGTGTTGGTTCATTGAAACCAGCATTTTCTACCTAATTGTTCTGCCTTTTTTGTCAACCTTCAATTTAAATTTCATTGACAATTATGGCTATGAGTGAATTTCAGAGAATTTACTGACGTATATATGTCCAAACCAAGTACACTTTTAACAGTTTGAAAAAATTCGTGCATTGGGTGTATGATATTCATTATTATAAAACGAGATCTAAACAGTTCATTCCTGGAGGAAATAAACAGTCTATCTCCCACAATCCACTTTACTTCTGAAGCAGAATCAGACATCGGTGAACTACCATTTCTAGACTGCCTAGTTAAGTGGAGGGTAAACAGACATTTTCGTATATCTCTATTCAGGAAGAAAACCCACCCCAACTTTGGATCATCACAGCCCATCAGCTCAAAGGTATCATTTGTTTCAAGTCTTCTTAGACGAGTACACTCTCTGATAAAGGATGAGAAAGAAAAAGAAGAAGAAATATCAAACATTACTGAAACTCTCAAGCAAAACAACTACCCAAAGAACTTCATCAACGAAATCAACACTGATATTAAGTATGGTTGAAAACGCATTCCGAAAACATGGACCTTAACAGTTGTCATTCCATATGGAGCAGAGACGTCAGACGATATCAGAAGAGTACTCAATAAGCTCGACATTGAAGTTTTCTTCAAAACATCAGACACATTGCGAAGTACCTTGTACATATAAATGGCTAAATCCCTAAAGATTCTCTCTCTCATTGTGTCTATAAAATAAAACGCTAGCTTGGAATGTGACGCGATATACATAGGACAAACATCTCGAGAAATCAAAATCAGAAGCAATGAACACCGTAGAGCACCTGTTTGACCACCGAGAAATCCAGTTGATTGTATGGAGGATTCAATCATGAGCTGATATCAGTTGAGCTAGGAAAGCTTGAAAAACCATCAGCAAGCTATAAGTCTACACGCTGTAGAATCAGGCCACAAAATTGATTTTGATAATATTGAAACAATCCAGAAAAAGTATTTCAGAAATCACAAAGAACGTCTAATATCAGAAGAACTTCATATCAAGTGGAATCCAAATTGTGTGAATAGGAATGATGGACTAAAACAGAATCTGATCTGGTTACAGCACTCCCTCTCCCCCATGAAACGACAAAGTCACCACTAATGTGATAATCAATTTCATTATGTAAATACACGCTGCTTATGTAATTTAACACACTTGTCAAATCCAAAATTCTACACCTGGTTTTGTTATCTTTACCAATTGACCAATTCGACAACAAAAAATGACCGCATACTGAGGAACGATGATTAAATTGTTATATATAAGCTGAGTGGATTTTGTAAATTCAGGTTTAATAATACTTTGATAAAGTTATTATCATTAAATAGCAAAACATCAGTGGAAACAATGTCGTTTTGTTTCTCAATCATTTGGAAATACAAGAAAACCTTTATTATAATGATTATTTACGCATATCAGTTAAACTCTTGCATTCGCATTTATTTATATGCTTATCTTAAGGCTAATCTTTTACTTTCGTCTGATTAGTTTTTGCGAATCGTTTTTCTAAAAGTAACTTACATTGTTTTATTTGAAATACAAACTTAGAACAATACGGGTAGCAAGAGATGAGGTTTATATACAATGAAAACAGCATTGTAGGGAAAATTAAAATGAAACAGTTGAGGAGGCAACAGACGGAAAACAAGTGGGCACATTTATGAAACATATTCAATAAATAAATGGAGGAATCTGCGCAGGTTCACCACTTAATTCGCCTTTATGCTATATCTGATAGCTTTTGAAGCCAATGAGACACACTTCCAGTCGGAGCCAACACAGGAGTCAGAATGCAGTAGAATAACTATTCTTCATATTATAGTATCAAGTTATGTACTGCCGGCCAGTCTAGTTTTGAAATCACGTCAAAGAATAGGAGATAGTGAGTTGTACTGAAGCCATTAAGATGGTATTTACAGCATACTAAAGCTACTTAATTAAAGGTGTTCTGAATACCGTCAAAATGAGCTTCGCAAAACTTCAGGATTATTTATATGATGACAGTAATAGATGCAAGCAGTCCCGTGGAAATAGCAAAAAGTCAAGAATTCAGTCGGCAAAAAATACTTCGCTTGAATAACCAGCTTTCACGGGTGTATAGTGAGACTGTATTCGCTAAAGTGCAGTGAACCTGACCTTCGATGGTCAGAATACCCTCTCGACGACACCAGGGATGTCCACATCGACGTCACACAACTATTCAGATACACTAAATGTCTGACTCTTAACAGTTTTTCTACAAGATTAAGTACTTGTCTCAGTATTTAACTAGACGTTTGCACTTGGACGACACAAAGAACACTGACAGCAGACACTGATCGCCAAATGATTAGGTGCAGTTTTGATAGCCTTTATTTTATCACACTATAAAATGATACGCTTTTCATTGGAAGGTCAGGAAGACTTTGTCAAGCAGCTGATCTACATCACCACTCCGTACATTCATTATAGTTAACTTCTGAACAATACCGATGGAAAATTTGAGAGTGTGCAGCGGTATTTGACCTATTTGTAAGCCGCGAAAGTTATTTTCCTGTTCATTTAAGAGATATCCCTGGTGAATCTTTTTGGTTTGCTTATTGTAATACTAAGATATATCTAAAGTTGTTTACAGATTCCATCACGAGCAGATATCAATTAAAAAATCAACAGGAAACCAAGGATCAGTCGATATCTGTTCGTTCCAGCTTGGAACTCCTTAGCAGTACACCCCACCGGGGTTCCAACCAAAATCTTTCGGTTAAAGAATGGACTTGTAGTCTATTCAGCCACTAGGACCGACTAAGTAGCCTGTTTATTCCAACTTCTGCCATTTCGCGATATATAGAGCGACTGCTAGTCAATGTCATAGCACAGCAACCTCTCTGTTACCTGACTTAGTAGACCCCGCTGGCTACTACCTCTCACTAGGACTTTCTGTACACATCCAGTCGCTGGTGGACATCAAAGAAATTATGACTTGACAGAATGCATATTTTCATCCATATTTACAGGTTGACCAGCTAAATTCCAACCCAGAAAGCAGACGATAATTTGGCTGCGTATAATGGCTCCAAGCTCTAATTATCTCAAATAGACAAATACTGAGAATGGAGGGCTATTCTAAGTCAATCAGTTTTCAGAAGATCTTCTAACGACATAATGTCACAGTTCCGGCTGCCTCTATCAAATGAAAAGTACATAGTTCTAGGAGAAATAATCAGTATGGTCGTGAATGAAATATTTTATTAAAGTTTATTATGTATTTATTTGTCTCTATATGATTACATGTTCGCTCTCTAAAAAGTACTTTTATGTCCACATTTTACAGGTGAAATCGGTAAACAGATGTATATTGTTAATCGTGGTAAATTACACGTCTTAGGAGATGATGGACATACAGTCTTGGCTACGCTGCATGCTGGAAGTTATTTTGGGGAACTGTCTATCCTAAATTTAGGCAATAATGGTAATCGACGTACAGCATCAGTACGTTCTCTTGGCTATTCTGATTTATTCTGTTTATCTAAATCTGATCTTTGGGAAGTTCTCAAGGAATATCCAAATGCTAGAAGTAAACTTGAAGCTGATGCATATAAAAAAATGAATCAATATCAAAATATTCCACAACAAAATACCAGAGGTAAGACTTTTCTTATTATTCTGTACACAACTTCAAATTTAATCATGTATATTATTATTAACGAGAGAGTAAAACGTCAGAGATTTTAACATCATTTGGTTGATGTGATGTTTTGGCCTGATATTAATTATTCCACTGAAAATATTTGTAAAGCTTGGACACTGTGGTAGTAAGTAATTCCATATAAGTTTGTTTATCAGATGCACCACATAGTGAAACAGTATTAGTATTTACTGGATGACGTTTCAAACAAACCTTATTGTTCATAATCATATCAATGATAATCACACGTCTTCGATACTTGAGTTTTAAGTTTTCTTTGTCTTCTCCTATTTGTCGTCGTAGGAGTAGTAGAATTTCCCAGATATCTGGGACAGGTGTTGAATCATTCCTATTACATGTATTTGCAGTTGATTCGACAAACGCAGCTTCTGTTATCAATCTCTTCCTCCACTCTGTGTCATTAGATTTTAAAACTGTCATCCTATCCCATCCTATTGTATGGTTGTATGTCACTTCATGTAGTGAGTGCTATAGCTGAACTATTTTCTAGGTTTCTTGTCTTATTTGGGTCAACTGATCTAGATTTTTCTAGGTTTTTTTGCTCGGCTAGTCCGACTACCCCTGTTCTACTACTTTGACCTATGTATTTGACCTGACAATCATTCCAGCAGAGTATTAGATAACCTAAATTGTTTTGTTTTATTGGTTTCACAGGATCCCTTAACCGACAAAGCTTGTTTCTAATTGAGTTTGCGTTGGTTTAAATATCAGCCACTTTTATTCGTGCCTTGTTAAGAATTCTGCGTATAGTGTCTGAGGTTCCTTCCTTGTATAGAATTACTACTGACGATTTTGATTCCTCATTGTTGGTGTTGTCTTGCTCATTTTTATCGAATCAACTGCAAACATGTGTAACAGAAATGATTCGACACCTGTTCACTTGGACATCTGAAAAACTCTACTACCCCAACAATGACAAATAGGAGAAAACAAAAAAAACTATAAAACTCAAGTCTCTAAGTTTTGTGATTATAACTGATATGATTATGAACAATAAATTTTATTCTAAAGGTCATCCAGTAAATAATGCTGTTTCACTATGTGATACATCTAATAAACAAACTAATATGGAATGAATTATTCCACTGTTTGGTGAAAAACATTTGGTGCTGTTTAAACCGTTGTATTCCTTGTTTTATAACTTTAGTTTGATAAACAGCCTTTCATTTGAATATATTAGATTATGGCTGTTAATTTAAATTAAACATTTTGAAAATGATAGTTTCATTATGCGTGTTGTAAAAGTCTCTAGTAGAATTTCTGGGCAGAAATAAAATATCAGAATCTCTTCATTATTTCCTAAGTACTCCACTTAAATTCCTAAGAGAAGGATTACTTTATTTTCAGTCGTTAAAAGAATCAAGCGGTCAAGCTGTAGTGAAAAATGTGATAGGAATAACTAACCGTCTTCTAATTTACATACATTATTTTGCATTAATTCATTATTCCCTTTTGTTCCTAATGGGATATAAAACTTCTACAGAACATCTTCATTTCATCCTCCTTAGCTGGATCCACAACTGTCCATAAGTTTTCATTTCCCCGCCCTCACAATCTTCCGCATATCACTCACAGACCGATACCCAACTTGTCATTTTCCATTCAGTTTCAACTTGAAGATCTGCCTATTGCTTAGCAGTCTCCCCAGCTGATGTCAACTTATTTGCATTTCCTTACGCATACTTGTTGGGGAAGTAGTTCTTTCTTGGTCCACTGCCCGAGTTCCTTCTTCCTTATCCTATCTGGTGACCTGAAATCCTTTTTAATGTTTACATCGATAATATACATCAATTTTATTATAAGCATTGTGACATGAATCAAATGAACTGTAGTCAAGATTTGACAGAATAGTTCTAAAATATTTGGGCGCCGAGTGAGAAGTAGACATCTGTGAAAAATTATATTTGTAAAATCTCAGCGATATTGAAATGAGTAATTCCAACGTTTCGTTCGGAAATCTGGTCCGAACTTCTTCAGGGGAATCAATCGAAATTAACATAACAGAGGTTTGTATATAAAAGGAACATCTATTGTTTTTAAAAACTTTGTCCAATCATGAGTCATAAAACAAGTATTAACAAGTATAATAAACAAAATTGCATGAGTTGTGATCAAAATTTGACCTCAGACTTACAAATATTGATCTACCTTTGTTAAACTTAGTGTGTATGTGTGTGTGTGTGCGGATAAACAGTTGTAAAACAATGTCTTAACGTTTCCATAAGTAGATATAGACAGTCAGGAACTCTGACCAAGTATTATTAGTTAGTGATACATATCCGTTCTTATTTATTAATCAGGATTTCCTATGCCTCAGCTAACACCATACCTTCATGTTTGTTCAAACTGTTAGTATCTAGATTTTTTTATGATTAGACGTATTTTCAAAATTATGGTGTTTAGGATTACAGTTACCCTGTCAAACTTATTACTTTGTCTTCTTTCTGAAAATTGAGCTGCTTTATTCGACCTACTGGAGTTGTCAGGTGACTGGACAGCTACGGATTTAGGATACGCATTCTGTTGGGATTACTCATTTCAATATGGCTGAGATTTTACAATTATAATTTTTTACAAATATTGTGACATGACTCTTAAATAAATATGTTGATAACTAATCCGTCTAAATAGCGGTAATAATATTGCCGTTGTGTTTGCTTCAACTGCATAAGCTTAGAATGACTTCACCCCAGTATTTAGTAATAACTTTGAGCACAACTCCATTATAGATAAAATTTTATTTGCATAAATCACACAGTGTTATACAGTAATAGTAACTGATGACGTTTCGAGCACAAAGTAATACTCATAATCATATCAAGTCATTCACACAACTTTTCACTTCACTTATACACATGAGTAAAACAGAACATATCTCTAGCTTCCTGACGCATATAAACTCATTAGTAAAGGGAATAAAACTCACAACTCAATTATCTAAGCTAAATTGTAAAATAAAACGAATAGAAGAAGGTAAAGTGCACACTGGCGTTTACAAAAAAACCGATGCATTCTGCTAATAGACATTTAGACTTTAATTCACCTTATCCGTTGTCTGTAAAGGCTAGCCCAGATAAGTGTCTAACAAACCGAGCAATAGCACTAAGTAGTACAAATAAAGTCCTAAACGATGAAATTAAATAGATAGAAGAAGGGTTGGTGTTACATAACTATCCTATAAAATTCATGAAGAATATCAAAAAAGGTCGACAGCAAAATAAAAGTAATGATGAAACTACTAATGATAAGATTTAATAGTGTGAAATATTCCCATATAATGAATTAAAAGTCATTCTGAACGAAGAATATTCTTTTCAAAATAATTTCTCTTCAAATTTGTACAATTGTACAATATGATATTTGTTGCCGTTACGACAATGGCCAGTTATGCGACAGATACATTTTTGAGGTAAAATAACAGATTAGTTATAGATTGTCAAAATAAATAGTCGTATTTGTTTGACAAGCGTGCTAGGCTGAAATCGATTACCAAAATAAGTATATACCATTTCAACTGTTCCTGTGGTTCAAGTTATATAGGGCTCACGATTAGGCTACAGGTTCCAGAACATTTACCAGCTTGGTTCACCAGGGGGTGGGGAAATTAAGCGCATAAAAAGCTAGATCCTGTCGTACTTACTCGATACTGGATACAGCATCAAATTTAACACAGCTTTTAGGGTTATATACCGAATTCCGAATTCGTTATTACGTACAGTTTGCTTACGTCTCCTACACACAGCTGAAGCTTTTGCAATAAGGTCGACTGAACCATAACTTTGTATCCAAAAGGAACACGTCCAGACGCTGTTCCTACTGTGGCCAAACTTGGATTTACCATACAAGGAGGGGCATCTTAGGCCCTAAGTAGGATTTTCAATCAAGCAGGAATTAGGGTGGCATTCCAACCTACAAACTCGCTCAGAGACAAACTCTGTTAGCAAAACGACCCGGTGGGCCCAATTATACAAAATAATATAATTTACAAAATACCCTGAAATGACTGTGAGTTCGGTCAACTACATAGGTCAAACTAGTAGTTCGGGGGTAATCAGATTATCGGAACATAAGAATTTAGCTAAGGTAAGAATGGTTGACTTCGAGAAGATAAGTAATTTAGAAGAAAGCTCAGCGATTGCACTGCATGCATCAACACACAACCACACAATGGGGTGGGAGACGGTAAAAATTCTAAGAAGTAATCTATGTAGGTGGAGAGAGAGATTGATTCCGTGAAACCTCGAGTGTACACCCAACGCATGCAACAGAAATGACTCAACTCAAATATCAGAGATGTGGAAGATATGGAATAATAAATAATGTTAAAATGTATTCAATCCACATTCTAACAATTTACTTATTTTTACTGTAAAAAACATCTTATTTCCCATCTGATTGTATTTTTATTGACAACACTAATATTATATCTGAATGTACATTATCTAGTCAATTTTACTCATATATATAAATGAAGTATAAAGTTGTGTGAATGACTTGATATGTTTATGAGCAGTAATAATTTGTGCGCGAAACGTCATCAGTTAATATTCCGGCATAACACTGTATGATTTATGCAAATAAAATCTTATCTATAATGCAGTAATACTCTACCATAGGGCCTAAGTTCTATACTTATAATACTAAACGTAGTTAATTAGGTAGATAGAATAGAATGCATTTCGTTTCATAATAAAAAAAATGAGTGACTGGCTTCTGTTCATCTTCATTATTGCTAGTCAGTGCTGCCTTGTAGACGGTCATTGTCAGTCACATCTGGCTTGAAGGAAAATTGCATGTTATGCTAAACCTCTCAGTTTTATTTATGAAGAACTAATAACCGTCACCAATCATTTGGAACAATGATTGTTAGATATGTATAATTTATAACGAAATAATTTCGGATCTGAATTAGCTCTTTCTTTAAATAAGACAGCACA